CAAAAAAAAAGATGACAAAAATGACGATACGGTTAAATATAAGCATTTCATCTCTATTTCCTATCGTCCGAAAAGGAACGAGTTTTAAAGATAGATACAAAAGTCCTTTGTGAAAAAATAAAATAAAGTGTGGTTGAGTAGCCGGATTCTCCGTTGGTGTTAGGTCTTAGTCAYTTTTCCTAAATATTTCCCTACCGTACCCAAAGCCTTGTTTTTCGTTACACCTGTTAAGACATTTTGATTTATAAGCATGTATTTTATTCAAGTAGTGGAGAGTGAGAGATTTTTCAAGTATATGGTAGGTACATGCTAGTGTAGTGGCGGTTTGAGTGATACACTTTAGCCCCAATGAGTGAATTCAGTGTTATTTTGTTAATCCTATTCGTGAGAGTTCTCGAGATTAGCTTGTGCCTTTTTGATTGGGTAGGCCCTCTAACTGAAGCTAAGCCGTAACTCTTAAGTTCATGATATTCTATACGTGTTGACGTTCTCATTTGATTCATTTTTTTATATAACTACGTGCTAACCTAAGTCATTGTCGAGACGGACAATAATCTAAGTGTGGAGGAATTTGATAAGCGTCAAATTTATATATTTTTATGCAAAAGTTGCCTAGTAATTAATATAAATTAAATGCTTAAATGTTCTAATTTAGTTTTAATTATTTGAGGTAATTCAAGTTGAAAAAGAAAATTGACAATTTGATTATTTGTTCTTTTTTTCTTTTCTTTTTTTGTTGTTGTTGATCTCACTCTCACTCTCACATTTACTACTCTCACCAAATGCAGCCCAACAGAAGAGGCCTAATAGCAAAAAAAAAAAAACAAAAACCCAACAGCAAGAAAATCCAACAGCAAGCAGGCCAACAACAAACAGCCTAATAGCAACAGCCCACCAACAGTAAAATCCAACAGCAGAAGCAGTTTTTGGGGGGATGGAGAGAGGCAGCAACACGTCGTTTGTGTGGGAGCGAAGGCAGGAACACGTCGTCTAGGTCTCGATTAGAGAAAACAGAGGAGAGCGATCGATTGGAGAAGAGGAGAGGAGATCGATCGATTGAGGGTTTTTATCGTCAACTGATTTGTATGGTAAATCCTAAAAATCTTTAGAATCGGTAACCTAGTTTAGCTATGTGTTGCTAATTTATTTATTCCAACATTAGTTAACTTTAGATTTTGATGTTTTCCYACTTTGAGATGTCGTTGTAWTTGTTTGGGACAAGTTTATTTGTTTGATTTCTAGGTTAATYGTTAATTTCATTTGAATGTTAATTAAATTGGCCGATTAGTTAACAGTCCTATGAATACTTGTTATTCAAAGCATTAGATACGTAATTGTCTTGTGGCTTTGATAGGGTGACAATGRAACTCTTTGAATTCAATAAAGTTTTCAATTTGAGTTCTTGAAATCTCATAATCAAAGTGATATTAAGCCGAGCAAATGAGCTTAATTATTTGAATCGGTGTTTTCTAATTCGTTAAAGCTAATTACGCTTGGGATGTTGAGAGTTTGTTCATTGTTCCACTTGTAGTTAAGATTTAGCTAAAGAACTGATTTTAGCTAATGTCTAATTAGGTGAAAACAAAGGTTGTCAGAGCTTGTTGATAACCATACCCGACTTGAGCTTGTCCTATCWTTTTACRTTTRCGAGATCGCTGATAAGTATTTACATCATCATCGAGAGTGAACTAATGTTGGATTTCGTTCTCATTGTTTATAATAAATTTTAATCGCATGTTTAGTCTAATTAATCAAATCCAACCCCCCCCCCTCTTAATTACTTCTAAGCCATCACCTAGTATTTGATTTTTCTAGACATAGTAAGTTAAACCGAGTCTCTGTGGATTCGACCCGACTTATTGCTATTACAATTTTGGTTGTAATTAGCTCGTAGTTGGAATTTATTATTTAGTGGACTCAGCATCCGTCAAGAAATCCATCCGCTAAGTAATAAATTTTGGGGTATGTCCGACCCAACACCTTACCCAGCCCCTGTTACCAAACCTAGACTGGGAAACACTTTTTACCAGCCTACATCCCATGGGCACCATGTTCTTAGCGGTCGGTATGGATTGAAACAACTAGATCGTACCTATTGCAATGGGAGTGGGGAAGACAGAAAGTGACTCGTCATGGACATGGTTTTTATATAAGTTGAGGCAATGTATCGATGAAGTGCCCAGTTTAACCTTCGTAATCGATAGGGCTGCCTTTATTGAGTTGGCCATAAGAACTGTATTCCCCAACGCGCACCGCGAACTTTGTTGTTGGCATTTGATCCAGAACTTGCGCCTAACCTTGAGTAGAGACAAAATAAAAAGGTGGATGTTCCGGGAAGCATACAAAACTTATAGGGTGTCGGACTTTGAAGCTACAATGGATTTGATGTGGCATAGTCTACCTAAGGCCACTCAATATCTTGAGGAAGTTGGTTACGCTAGATAGGCAAGATCACACTTCCCTAGATTGTGTTACATTACGATGACTTCCAATAGTTCTGAGTCCGTCAACTGAGTAGCCCGGTTTGCACGTTACCTTCTGATAACAATGTTAGTTGATTTTTATTGGGTGACATTACAACAATGGTATTTTATACATTGGGATAACGGAGGTAAATGCAACCATCGAAAACTATATGTATGATTATGTAACATAGGCTAATGTTATCATTTATTTGCAGAGCAAATGATAAATGCAGCGATACCTTGGGTGGAGGCAAAAATAGAAAAGAGAATTCATAGGAGTACAACATGGAAGGTATATCCCATTAGTGAGTTGTTATTTGAAGTTGATGACAGGTATAAGAACGGAAAGTGTGATTTGCATGCTAATACTTGTACATGCATGCAATGGCAAGTTTCTGGATGATGTCATATACGGTGGTGGTCGGTGCCAAAGATGGAAGGTGGTAGTTGGCGGAGATAAAAGGTGGTAGGTGGTGGCAGACGGTGGTGGACGCCGGAGGTGGATGGTGAAAGATGTCAGTATACGGTGGTGGATGTCGATGGATGGTGCTCGATGGTCCTTGGTCGGTGGATGGTGATTGGTGGTCGATAGTCGATGATCGCTGGTCAACGGTGATCGGTGGTCGAGGGGGATCGGAAAGCCAGAGGGGGTGTGTTTCTATATGCTCGGTGGTGGATGTCGGTGGGGATGGTGATAATGGTCCTCTCCGACCGCCTACTTAGATAAATTGTTATGTAATAAGACAAAATAAATTGTCAAATCACTGTAAAATCGTAGGTCACTAAATGACAAAATAGCGATCAAAGTATGTGGCTATAAAAATATGGCATTTTTCATATATAATATATGATTTTATCCCCCAAATCGAATACAAATAATTTTTTTTGTATCAACAATTATTAAAAAATATTACATTCAGTGGTTATAAAAAATATATTTTTATAATAAAATACAAAAACATTTGTTGGTTCATTTATGCATTTAAAAAAACTAGTAAAAATTATAAACTTTGACATGATTTCGTATTGTGTTAAGGGTGGTGATGGTAGATTGTGTTTAAGGATTACAGGTTGTGATAGTAGAAGTGTTTGATTTTATAGCAAAAAACCACAACATTTCGTCCTAAAACAGACAAAATACTAGTCAAAATTGTCTCTCATTAAAAAACACCCTTTAATTGTCAAATCAATGTCGTTACTAATGGACAAAATAGGAGTCAATGGTGTAAGTAAAATTGCCCTCGGGGGCGATCCGAGGGTTAGGTGGGGGCGATCCAAGGGTTTTATAAAATCAGAATTTGTGTCCCCCAAATCAAATACATGTGGGTCCCACTTTGGTATTTTTTTTTTTTTGAGGAAAATCGCCCCTGCATGGTCAACATGCCCTCCGGGGATGATCATTGTGGTCATTTTTTGTAAAAAAAGTGAAACATGGCTATTTTGTTAATGAAATACGTATAAATTGACTATTTTCGTGATTTTCCGTTAACAAAGGTTATGATGATTGTGTTGTTTTTAACCGATTACATTTTAAAATTATAACAAAGTCTTGATGTGTTTTGAACCTTTTTCAATCCATTTTTACGATAATTGTCATGTTTGAGACAAACTCTTTTTGGTATTTTTTATATACTAATGATATATAGCACATTTTTTGTTAGTTTATAAAAATCATGAATTGCAATTTCATAAGATTAAACTATTGAATTACAAATGCGACACCAAGTAAAAAATGACTAAACTTTCGGATTTACCATAAACGATCTCGCAGATAATGAAATACATATAAAATCTGTGGGGATTATTGAAACGAATCTTTTTCTTTTATCAATGACACCAATATACCCGACGGGGTGGGCGTGGGGTGGGTTCAAACCCAAATGGAAGACGATATTTGGGATGAACATATTTTCAGCAAAAACTTTCATTCTTTATTTATCAACAAGAATTAAGTTCAAAAATGTCTAAGTGTTCTAATAGGCTATTATATACGACTCGTATTTATAAGACCGAATAATTGTACGTCATATACACGACTTTATAATAAAATGTCGTATTAGTATTTTATAAAACACTTATTTTTATAAGAACATTTTTCAAACAATATCATACAAAAAATAATAGTATGTTTTATTTAAAAAAAATATCATATAAATTTATTGTTACACTTATATATAAAACACATAATTATTTAATCGTATAAACATAATTTCTATAAAATATATATCTTTTAAATTCTATAAACCCAAATCTATTATAATATTTATAAAACTAAATACACCCATTTAAACACATCATTTGGACCAATTGAGTATCAAATAACTGCAAAATTCCAATAATGTATAGGAGAATTCAAATCTCATGGATGGTCAAAATTTGACCATTAAATGTGATTTCAAACCCTCTCTTTTAAAAAAAATGAGTTATATGGTAGAGAAAGTAAAATAGGACTCTTCCACCTTCCCAATTATCCTCTTCACACCATCAAACTTCATCATATATATATATATATATATATGTGTGTGTGTGTGTGTTATATACTTGATTCAAACATTTACATCAAACTCTTCACATTTTTATCCATTTTATTGACATTTAAGTACATAATCAAGATGAAGGATGAAATAATCTTGTTGGATTGTTGGGCAAGCTCGTATGGAATGAGTGTTAAGATCGCCCTCGCAGAAAAAGGGGTTGAATACGAGTGTCGGGAAGAAAACTTTCAAGATAAAAGCCCTTTGCTACTCCAATCCAACCATATTCATAAAACAATCCCGGTTTTGGTTCACAATGGTAAGCCCATTTGTGAATCCCTCATCATTGTCAGGTATATCGATGAGGTTTGGCATGACAAATCTCCATTGCTTCCATCCGATCCTCACCAAAAGTCACAAGCCTTGTTTTGGGCCGACTACATCGACAAAAAGGTTATGCTTCTTTCATGTAACCAACTTGCACATATACACGTACTCACTAACCAAATCAAACAAACACACTGTATAGCTCAAAAGTAGGATATGTGTTTCTTAAACTGATTAGATGGATGTTTGTTTGTAGACTCCATTATAACATCATCGGTTTTGTAGGACAACATATATGTTTAAGTGTCAAAATAGACTGTTTTATAGGACTTAGGTTTATAAGACTAAACAATTATGCATTATATGTAAATATGTTGGAATAAGTTGATAGGAAACTTTTGGACGCCCTAAAAAGTATTTTTTGGGTAATTTTGAAAACAAAACGTTATATTAGTCTTTTTATATGATTTGATTGGAAAATTGTTTTATAAAAATGTGTTTATAGTACACACTTCTCAAAATTTTCATATAAGTAAGCTAATAATACTTTATTTCAAAAGTGTCTTAAAAAACTTGTGAAGACGCATAAAAACATAGTATCAACTTATTGTAACAATTATACATATGACTCATAATTGTATGTTCATATAAATTTAACTCCAATATAGCAGTATATTAAGATATGTAGATATATTTTACATTATGTAAAACCAATTTTATTGTAGTGATCATCGTTTAACATCCACCGGTCTGAATGCAGATTTACAACATTGGAAAGAGGGTATGGAGGGGAAAAGGCGAAGATCAAGAGGTAGCAAAGAAAGAATTAATAGAAGTCTTGAGAAACTTAGAGCGGGAGTTGGGCGATAAGCCATATTTCGGGGGTGAAAATGTAGGCTTTGTAGATGTAGCACTTGTACCGTTTACTAGTTGGTTTTATACTTATGAGACTCGTGGTCATTTTAGCATCGAGGCCGAGTGCCCCAAGCTTATGTCATGGGCCAAAAGGTGCATTAGTGAGAGAAAAAGCATAGCGAAAACGCTCCCCCACCCTCACAAAATCTACGAGTACGCCTTGGATCTTTTACGCAAATGAAGGCCTCAATCAATGCATGATATAATGATTTGTAACGCTTTGAATTCTGTGTTTTCTTAAAACTATCCATATTTTTATACTATTGAATAAGCATATTTGTTTACTTTCCATTCTAGTTATTTATTGATCAGGGATTATAAGTTATTTATGTATAATCATATCAATGTTCAAGCTATATAGATGATTGTAAGACAGAATAGCTAATAGCGATATTTCATTCAGTGTCTGTTGGACCGATCTAGGGAACCGCCCACGTGATATTGTCYGCTTTGGGTTTGACCAACCCCTCACGGCTTTAAAACGCGTCACTGGTAGGAGTAAGACTCTCACTTCCTTATAAGGAAGCCGAATCCCCCTAGCCTCACCGATGTGGAATGCTCCTGCATTGCTACAGGAGCGTTGGGTTTAAGAATCACGGATTTGACCGGCTCGAGGGAAAGATAAGTTTTTCGGACCCAACATTCCCCCCCCCCCGACATTGGTGCGGCCCTAGCTCTGATACCAATTGATGAGTCCATATTTCATACAAACATGATGTAATCTTCATAGATCATGATGAACATCAAGATAGAAAGAATATGATCAAGAATGATTAGATTGAGAGGAGAGAGAGAATTACAGCACTTAATCTTGATAAATCTGCTAATGACAATTGCTAATTACAATTACAAGGAAATCACTATTTATACTAGGAAATGTAAAGGCTAAGCTATTACAAAACAGCTATACTAAGGAGAAACTTGAATACAACATTAAAGCACTAACTTTAACCCAACAGTGTCCAACATATACGATCTTCCTTTAATGAAATGGGATATCATCAATTACAATTTATGAAACCAGTTTTGATAAATGTGTATGGTTATCACATTTCAACATTAACCGGTGAAAGTAGTGTTCATAAGAATTAGATGACCAAAATAATAACAAATCGATACATTGTATATATTGCACTACAACAAAATTAGGTTTATAGAATGACAAAATTATATAATATACTAATAGAGTGTTTTATAGGACTTAAGTTTATAGAACAAAACATAAAGTCTTTTATCTAAAAGTGTTAGAATAAGTTTATATAACGCTTTAAGTGTTTTAAAAAAAATTAAATTTTTTTAAATAAAATGTCGTATTGACTATTTTTATAGAAAACTATTTGAAAAATATCCTATAAAAATATGGTTTCTAGGACATTTTCAAAAGTGGCATATAAAATAGCTAATACAACAATTAATATGAAAAATAACTTTAAAATATGTTAACAGATCTAAAAACGTCTTATAAATCTACTATAACACTTTTATATAGGACATAGAAAACTCTATTAAAACGTTTAGACGTTTTAGAGGTCCTATAACCCAATTTTTTTGGAGTGTTAAGGACATCAATCAAGACTACTTCGTAGACACATTTATGCTACTAGCCGAAGGATTAGTTAGTGTGATACTCATTTTCTATTGTGTGTTTCGTTATTATGCTTGTCTGTTCATTCAATATCAAACATACAAATATGTCGACCTATTTTCGAGTAGAAGACCACTAGAACCAGTGTTTTTCAAGAAATCTACTGTAGTAGCACTATTATCCTAATATAGTCTTGGTGGGGTCCGAAATGAAGTTGTTGTTTTCAAGCCATTAACTAGTAGGGATGTCAATTTTGTACCATGACAAACCAACCAATTTCTATACCAATCTTACCAATTCATTTCGTACCAACCTAATTGGTTCATAATACCATACCAACTATCTAAACTTGGTTGGTACATGTTATTAGAAGTCGTGTACCACAGTAATATCAACGTATATATCTAAAATTTAATCATTAAATAATTTTATTTGAACATTGTGAAATGTTTTAATGAAAGTGGCGGATATCCTGACTAAAGTGCTTCCTGTGAAACTTCATGTTAATCATATTCCGTATAATTTGTATTTTTTGTTTGTTTATTTAGTGTTTTGGCAATGTTTTATTTTTTATTTTTAAATAACAAAATTTTAATATTTTAGGAAGCGGGTACCCGGAACCGGTTCCCGGCGGTTCCGGTTCCGGTTCCAAAAATTCAATAACCGCTCTAATCGGTTCCAGTTCCGGTTTCGGTTCCAATATCTCAAGAACCGCCGATTCTGGTTCCGATCAAATAAGACGGGTACCCGCCTATGCTCACTCCTATGATTCATAGCCTCCAATCTTTTTTGGGGTAACAAAAAAGAAATACAAAAGAAACTCTTGTCTCTCTCACTACGCTCTAAAATTTCTCGGCATCGATTCATCTTTTTCTGAAATACTTTGTTATCACAAACACATTATCATTGATTATCGTTTAGTTCGTGAGCATCTTGCTCATGATGATTTATCAGTATGTTACATTCCCACTTAGTTACAAATTACTAATCTTTAACTAAAGTATATCAAATCAACGTTTTAAAGGTTTACATTTTAATCTACATATAATTTCGTAACATAGATTGGAAGGGGGTGTAATAGTGGATAATAATAATAATAATAATTGTTATATGATGCTCCTCATCCACTATAAATAGATGTCGCGACTTCCATTTAGGTTGGACCCTTACACAATCAATAATTTAATAATTATTATAATTTAATATGTAAAACTTTAGTTTAAAAAATGAATTGAATAAATGATCCCGCATGAACCACGTCCATGTCACATGACCGATTCTACACCATACGTAAGTATCAGTCCGTGACTCCGTGTACATGCCTTACCATGCTCTATCCTCTTTTGTAGGTTGATGTTGGATCATGTGTCATCATCATCACCATACCTAATTTAGCCATGTTCATTTCTATATACGAATACGAATGATCAAGTAAGGATAAGAATTAAAAGTAAAATGCATAAGAAGGGATTTGAACCCTTATTTATTTTTAAATTTAACCTCATCCCATAAGAAAAGATCTGAACCATTGATACATGAATTGATCTTATGCATCTCGATCCATCTCATTAGAGTTGATCTTTGATCATGATTGATCAAAAGGTGGAGGAGATCCCTTGCTCATTCTCACCATAGCTTCCATTCGCACCATAAACCTCTGTGCACGTGCACGCTATCTCTCTCTATATATATATATATATATATATATATGATAATCATGGAACGTGTTTGAAAGAAACTAGGCATCATCATATGATTGTGAATATGATACCTCAAATCCGATTATTATAGGATCATGTTTTTCCATGATATGATATCAATTATATTTATTAATGTAAATAGATTAAAGGATTTCATAATGCACATTGAAAATTTATAATTTGTTGGCAAACCCAACTTCTTGTTTCACATCATCAAACATGCCACAAAATATAAAGAATCCTTACAATGCCCTTGGTTTGGCAACAATGGTGGAATGATTCAAGATATGTAAACTAAATTGTCCACCTTTCTCCTTCACGTCGATCTTCGACATTCCCGGTGGCGGCAATAACTCGAAATTCTGCACCAAACGCCCGATCGTGATCCCCAAGATCGGCAATGCAAGAATAATCCCAGGACAACTCCTTCTCCCAACTCCGAAAGGCAAGTACCTGAAATCATTCCCGTTAGCCTCCACGTGACTTTCCTCTTCGAAGAATCTTTCGGGCCTAAATTCCTCTGGTTTCTTCCATTGTTCGGGATTGTTGGCAAGCCACCAGGCATTGACCAAGATCTTGCTTTCTGCCGGAATGTCGTAGCTGCCAAGCTTGGCGTCATGGAGGTTCATGTGTGGGACCAGGAGAGGGATAGCCATCCGAAGACGAAGGGTCTCCTTGACCACTGCTTGGAGATATGGAAGCTTTTGGATGTCGGGCTCAGTGACTTGCACTCCTGGTCCGAGTTTCGTGTCAAGTTCATGCCTCAGTTTCGCTTGGATCTCAGGGTGGTTCACCAGTTCAGCGATTCCCCATTCGATGGACCAGAGGGTGGTCTCGATTGCTGTTTCAAGATTAAAAGTAGGAGATCCCGTAAGATTTTAAAATCAGAACAGAAATAGTAAGTCGAACTGTAGCTGTTAAAAAAGGGAACTTTCGGATTCAATCATTTGAAATGGGAATTGACCTCGTTGAATTGACTATGGGTTCGTGCATCAAAGATTTGGGTATCCCATTTCAGTATTTATGAAATCAATAATTTTCATAAAAGAAAAGATGCGTACCAGCAACATTGATATTCTCAACGATGTAAAGAACATTGTCCTCATTGATCTCTCCTTTGTCCTGAGCTTCAAGTATATGATCAATTGCACATTTGATTTGGTTGTTGTCCATGCTTTTTGTGCTTCCCATCTTCCTGTTTTTCCATATAAAAGCGAACAATCAAAATATTATTTAGTATTTGCTTTTACTTTCATGGAGTTCAATCATCTTTCTATATTTAGAAAGAAAAAGGCAAGGCAAAGCCCTATTGCTTTTAGAAAAAACCAAGTTTTAATACATAAAGCAGCATAACCAGTTAGAATATTCAATAAACAGGGCCATCAGATACATCATTGAATTAGGTTGAATTGTAAATTTTGATGTGTAAACATTATGCTACTGTAGTCCGATTTAACGTAGAAATTTATAACTCAATATCGGAGAAAATTGAAATTAGAGAAGAAACGACTTACTTCCTTTCATCAACGAAGTAATCCTTGAAGAGCTGCAACCTCTTCTCTTTAACTTCCTTGCACATCTTCAAATAACCTTTCAAAAACGGCCTCAAAATTGGGATGAAATCACCATAGTTGTAATCGAAGCTCTGTGCCAATCGACTCCTCTCCCCATTCAACGCCTTGAGCTTCAAGAACAAAGGATCATCCTCGCTCTCGAACCTTCTATCAAACATAATCCTGAACATGTTGTTATACATCATCAGCTGCAACCGTCTCCGGATCACAATCCCTTCCGTTGCTGCTGCCGGATTCTTCTTCACATCGTCCACCACTGCCGCGGCCTCCGCCTCCCATCCAAACCTGTACTGCTGAACCACTTTGTTGGTGAAAAACGGGACCGTCATGATCCTCCGCATCTTGCGCCAGTGCTCGCCGTATACCGTAAACACCATGTCTTGTCCTTTCCCTGTGAAAATGTCGAACACGACGTTTCTAGTTCGGGATCCGAACTCCACGCCTTGTGTGTGGAGGACTTCCTTGGCGAGATCCGGTGATGATACGACCACGAGGTTCCGCTGGCCCATACGGAGTAGGAAGATCTGGCCGAACTTCTTGGCGAGATCTGTTAAGTTCCGGTGGTTGAGATCATCGCCGACTTGGAGCCAGTTTCCAAAGATGGGTACGGGAAATGGTCCCGGCGGAAGCTTGAAACGCTTTCCACGTAACTTAGATATGAAGATTGCGCCTAAAATGGCTACGAAGAGGCCAACAAGAGTTTTCTCCACGAGGAGAAGATCCATGGTGGTGGTTGTGGTGAGTGGTGGTGGTGGTGGTGGTGGTGGTGGAGTTGCCAAAGAAACTTGTAATTAAGAATTGGTGGGGGTAGGGATTTTATACAGGTAGCGACGGGGGGTTAGGTGGACGTGAAGTTGGTAGGACGATTCATAGTTAACGCCGTTAGCAAAATCAAACAAGTAACCATAATACATTTTTATCTCGATTTAGACATTATTTTTTTAATTTTTATTTAAAAAAATATCACTATCAATTGCTTATTGTTTTTAGAAAACGTTTTCACCATCAATAAGATAAATAAAATAATATAATATTAAATTGTAAATTGTAAATTAAGGGAAAAAGACAAAAGTCTAAAGTATGAGATGCCCCTTATACTTTGATCAAATTTACAAAAGACCCCATAAATTATGTATAATCACACATACACACCCTTGAATTGTTGTATTACAAAATTTGTTGGTTTGAGATGATTAACAACAGATATTTCGTTCACGTTTATTTTAGTCTTTGTTTTCGATTGAATCGTTACGCTCAATTATTACAAGCGGCTTTTAAGTGAATATGTAAACTCCTTAACACACCGTCATCAGAAGTTTTATACAAATACTTGATTGCGGAAACAAAATTTTCAAGTAATCCATATTCATACCTATTTGGATTTATAAAAAAAAATCATTTACCAATTGATGTCATGTTTAAAATACAAAAATGAACCATAACAATCATAAGATAACGGAACAAAAATTTGTAGTTACAAAGCATGTAAATTTTTAACAGGGTTAAGTGTGTTTAAGAAATGTCTAAAACTGAATAAATTGGTCAAAACGTAGTAATTGGCCAATTTAGCGATGTTGGTCATCGTATTTATGACAGGACGGTTTAGCAAACTTTAAATCATAAAATCTTTATTTGAACTGACGGTTTGCTATGTTAAAGTCGGTCGTTTAACTGAACCGGTCGTATGCAATAGTGATTTAATGATAGACGAATTGGTAAGAATATTTATATTTAAAGTAAGAGATTTGAGCCTGCATCATCCATTTTTTTCATTTATTTATAATAAATGAAAAACTCAATTTGTAACCTTAAGTGTCTAGACCATTATTTTACTTTGGCACATATATTTGTAGGGTAACCGTATGTGTCTAGACCAATTTGCATGTACTTCGATTAATCCAATGGTCCTGAAAATAATGATCAAGAAAATTCCAAGTGGTACATAGGAGACTCAGGGGTTGTTTGTTTACCTCTTAATAGTTTCATTAAAAGATAAAATCTGAACCGTTAAAAGGTGAATCTTGTTTGATAAAAAAAATATGTCTCTTAATGGTTCTAAAACCTTTTGAACGATTTTGTATATCGGATCTCCCTTAACCATTAAGAGCCTTAATTTTATTGTACACAATTACCAAACAATTATATTTCAATTTGCACTATATTATGAAAGTCTCTTAATCATTCTAACCATTTAATCATTATGCACTAAATCATTCAACAATTGTCAAACAGCCCCTCAATGTAATGACCTTTGGGGAGGATCCCCAAGGCCTAGCATTTCTTTTCTCCAACAAACAATAATTTGATGTATATTTGAATGATTCGCTCTTATATTTGTATTTATACCATTATTCATTATAAGTTATGTTGTGTTAACGCTAAAAATAAAAATTCAGTTTAACCACCCAAATATGTTTTGGTTGCCATTGGCTCCTGTATCAGTATCTAATCGGCGTTTATTTGAGTGAGGCTTTCATTTTTGCATTTGATTGCCTCCAATTCAGATTGCAAGCCATCTCTTTAGGTATCTAAGGTGCTCCAGATTCAGATGTCATGATTCAAAGGAGGGTCGTGTTTCTGCGGGTGAGGTTAAGGTTTAATCGTCGATATCATGGATGACGTCAAACTATTTATGCCAAGATCTCATTTTTATTGACGTCTCTTGGGTAGGGATATCAACAAATACTTCTCAACCTTAAAATAGCATAAAGTGAAAAATAATGAACAAAAAACGACAAATTGAAACCAGGATTGATGATGTGGAAAACCCATGAAAGAAGGTAAAAACCACAGATGGCTTTGAGACGTCACCACGTACAACAATAGCTTTATAACTTATAACAGAACATGAAAGACAAAAAAGAAAGAAAGAAAAGAGAAATGTGGTCGCTTTTTCGATGTCGAACGATCACTTTAAAAGATGGATAAGAGCAGTGTAGGTAGCGATTTCCCTTTTCCCTCTTTCTCTTGGTGCATATACAGTGGCATGTTGTAGTCGTTCTGACTTATCTCCTAAGATAGGGGAGTATCTCCAACAGATCACAACAACTTCTCTAATCCCATCAAAGGGTCTTTGGCGTAGCGGTATCGTAGCTTTTGGCCTTCTAGGAGGTCAGGGGTTCAAATCTCACCATAGATAAGGAAAGTGTGTGAGTTTATTTGTTGCATTTGCCATATATAAATATTATATATACTTCAAAAAAAACAACTTCTCTAATCCCTCTAACAGTCTCTTGAATAAGCCATTGTTGAATTAATCAAAACCCAAGCATTTATTTCTTTGCTCTAGGGTTTATTAAGTATTACCGTCTAGGGGTGCTCACGGCCCGAGTTGATCGGTTTGGAGCCGTTTTAACAACCCAACCCAATGTTGGCGGTTTGAAAATTTTCAACCCAACCCAACCCAAACAAAAGTTCAACCCAACCCAACCCAACCCGTTCGAGTTGATCGGGTTGTGTTTAAACAATGTAAAATCACATAAAAATAAAGGAAACTTTCCTTTGAAATACGACCGACCATTCAAGATAATATGCAAGTTCATCAAATATTTAGATATTACAATAAAAATGTTTAAACCAAATGATAATACATCAATCGACAACAATAGTTTTAGACGTTTCCAACCCCGATGTTTTCGCTTTCTTGACGTTGAGGTTGGTCATGTCATGATTGTCATCTACAATTCAAAGCTAAAGTTAAGGTCGGGTTCATCGGGTTGTCGGGTTGGTCGGGTTTTTTTGGGCCTGACCTAATTTCAACCCAATAAGATCGGGTTGGCTAATTTTTTTATCGATCATGCATCGGGTTACCTCGAGTTGGGTTGTTTTTTAAAAATTCGGGTTGGGTTGCTCGGGTTCATCGGGTTTTTGAGCACCTCTATTACCGTCCATTCAAGGAAATGAGGTGGCCATAATATTGTGAGATATTAGGCACAATATCCCAGTTGGCGACGAATCACTAAAGCGAGCGAAGTGAAACGTCACTTTGGCAATGTGTCGTAAAATGACCATATAGAATGATTAATTTATTAACAAATTCATTTATCATTTTGATTTTTGAGTGTACAGTCATTATGCTTCTAAAACCATTAATGTTAAAAAGATTTACGAGATCTATAAACTACTTTAAAAATGAGGAGGAAATAATGAATTGAATAAAATTGATAAGCAAATAAAAAAGGTATATATATAGGAGCCTAATCAAATGACAACTAATTAGTTTATGATAACCGTGAGGTCCAATCTTAACTACAAATCAATAGATAGATTAGCAAAATTTATAATTTTGATAATTCTGAATTAAAACTTTAATGCAAGGACATTTTAGGTATTTTAAAACTCTTTTCTCTCCTCTCTCCGTCCCCCGTCCTCCGGTGATACCACAATGGTATCACAATGCATCTTATATGTGCTTGGGTATCACACTGAAGTTGTTTCTGTGGTCGATCGAAGATGTAACATAGTGGTATCATAATGCATCTTATATGTGCTTGGGTATGACACTGTGTCTTTTGTTTAACAGAGTCAACATTTTTAGGTATCATAGTGGTATGATTGGAGGACAGGGGACGGAGAGAGGAGAGATGAGAGAAAATACCTAAAATGTCCTTACATTAAAATTTTAATTCAAAATTAAAATTTTCCTAATTTATCTATTGATTTGTGGTTGAGATTGGATCTCATGGATAACACAAACTAATCAGTTCTCCCTTAAATGAGCCCCTATATATATATATATATACATATATATATATATATATACATAGAGAGAGAGAGAGAGGTCATTCAAGGGAGAACTTGATATTTTATCAGATCGGTGAGGTGCAATCTCACGCTTTCATCATAGCAGTCAATGATTCACATTAATAATGTTAATTTTTGTAATTATCCATTAATTTTCAAAAAATTAAATTTATGGATGATATTTAGGGGTAGATTAATCTTTTTGTAAATCTCTTATATCTACTCTCTTTTCTCTCCTCTTTTCGACGAACATTACCAGTTTCAAACCTTAACTTTTTGATGCACGTTGTGATACATTACCACTCTATATACACTACCATTGTGATATCCTCTGAAACCTTATGAACACTATGAACATTATCATTGTGATACACTCTATGAACATTGCCATTATGATACAAGTTGTGATACATTATGATTTCATGATTTTGCATATTTCATGATTTTTTAGCTTTAGTGATACATTCTCTTGCATATTGTGGTACATGTTGTGTACACAGATGAACATTATCACATTAATCGTAGAAGACAATAAGATACAGAAAAAAGGATACACCTTTCAAACACGTTATGAACACAAGACAACATGTTGTGATCGTAGAAGATAAAATGATACCCAAAAAAGAGCATAACATATTTTTGTATTTACAACAATCGGATAACACATTGTGACTAAGATATAGAATTTAAATATCTAACTTGAACACCTAATCAAGATCTGAAGAAAAGAAAGAAAAAACCAACAACGAAGTCACCCGCCAAAGATCCCCCTTGGCCCGAGATCTCTTTGCTAAGCATGAGTGCACTGGTAGATAAGAACACCCATGCACTCAAGACCTCTTTGTCGGAGGTCTTTCAGTGGCGTCTGGATCTACATCAAAAGCTTTGTGGAATATTGTCTCTCCTTCGCATCGACATCTGCTTCTCATTTTGTGTTAGAAACAAAAGTATGTTGTTTCCAAGTTCTGCATCGATGTTATTAACTCCAAGTTTCTCGTCAATAATATTAACTCTTGCCGTGAAAAAAAAAAACATCTT